TTCACCTACAGACAATAATAAGAGTGAGTGAGTAAAACTTTAAACATTTATAATCAGTTTATAAAGTTTCTTTCCTCGTCTAAACTAACCTTAAATGATCTTTGGGTTGACTTCTGCTCTCATTTTCAGAGCAAAGCTAAAGTAAATAAATGAAAACGTTGAACAGTGTGGACTTAAACTTTACACGGAGATCTAGTGCTTACGATGAGTCAGCAGAAATAAAGATGACCACACAAACTCAGCTTTGTGATCAGATTGTGCTTTCATGACCCGTGTACACCGTTGGACACAACAACAGATCGTTGTGCATGTTGGTTTTGATTTAACTCGATTAATCCTGTGAAAGAAACTTTTTATTGGAAAAAATAAGTCAGCTGCTCCTAAAGTTTGCTCTTTGGTGCGTTTGCATTCCTTTCATAGTTTTCCCGTGTGTGTCTGTGTGTGTCCTGACTCGGCCACCTGTGTTGTTGAAATATCTCTGCCAATCTGCAGCAGAGGGTTAAGGCGGGCGAGATTACGGCTCTCCGCCTGAAATAGCAGATGGGTTGGCTTCCGCCACACACACACACACACACACACACTGCTGAGGGCCGGTGTGTGAGGGCAACATCAACCGCCTTCACACAAACAACTCGCCGGCTTTCTGCCCGAAACACATTCCCATAAACACACACACAAATCTGACCGTTTTACACAAGATTAAACTGGTAATCTGTTAAACCTGCTGTTGATCACTTGCTGCAAAGATGTAAATATTCTGTGAAAAATGTTAGCATACCTTGTAAAAAAGGTACGTTTTAAATGATGTACGCAATCTCATGCAAGGTCTCAGGAGATGTGTTAGAGCTCAAAGAATTCAATTCAGTTTATTTATAAAGCGCCAAGTCCCAACAGAAGTCATCTCAGGGCGCTGAACAGAAACATTCACACGCATAAACAATAACACTGTTTATCTGAGGAGCAGACTGCTCATCACAGACTCTCATCTTGAGCAAGCATGAAGGCGACAGTGGAAAGGAAAGACTCCCTCATGAGGAAGAAACCTTTAGCAGAAACAGGCTCAGGACAAGTGGTCATGTGCTTTGACCGGCTGGGTTTGAGAGGAACAGATACACAGTGGCAGGTCAAGAATCACATAAATAATATCAAATGAAAACTATTCATTTGTAACAATTTTAAGAAATGAGGTCAATTTGTCCTCTAGCTGTCTAAACATATAGCAGCATAACAAGCCGACCCTAACTATAGGATTTATCAAAAAGGAAAGTCTTAAGTCCAGTCTTAAAACTGGACAATGTGTCAGCCTCATGGACAGAAACTGGAAGTTGGTTCCTCAAGAGAGGAGCCTGATAACTGAAAGATCTTCCTCCTATTCTGCTTTTGGAAACTCTAGGAACCACAAGTAAACCTGCAGTCTGAGAGCAAAGTGCTCTGTTAGGAAAATATGGAGCAATAAGCTCTCAAATAGAAGATGGAGCTAGGTTGTTGAGAGCTTTGTAGGTTAGAAGTAAGATTTTGAATTCAATTCTGGATTTGACAGGGAGCCAATGGAGAGAAGCTAAAACTGGAGAGATATGATCTCTCGCACTAACTCCAGTTAAGACTGGCAGCAGCATTTTGGATTAAGTGAAGACGTTTTAAGGAAGTATTTGGACACCCAGACAATAAACCATTGCAATAGTCCAGTCTAGACGTGACAAATGCATGAACCAGTTTTTCTGCATCGTTTTTAGACAAGATGTTTATAATTTTAGCGATGTTAGGCAGGTGGAAGAAGACGGTTCTAGTAACATTTTTAATGTGGGGGATAAAAGACATGTCCTGATCAAAAAATGATGAAAAATTTATTCCTAAAGATGCTCAGGTCCAAAAACCTCAGTCTCATCTGTGTTCACCAAAAGCAGAAAATTAAGGGTCATCCAGGTTTTTATGTCTTTAAGACATGCTTGTAGTCTAAGTACCTGATGAAAATGTATCCCACGCTGTTTAATAACATTACCTAATGGAAGCATATACAAGGTAAAGAGTATTGGTCCAAGCACTGAACCTTGAGGAACTCCATGACTAACTTTGGTGTATGAAGAAGATTCATTATTTACATTTACAAATTAGAATCTATCAGATAAATGTGATTTAAACCATTTTAGAGACGTTCCTGTTGTGCATGACTCTCAGCTACTACCTCAATAAGTTTTAGCTCAATGTGTGTAAAATTATTCAATTCTTCTGTTTGCTTATGTCAATTAGTAGTGGTGCCATCTTGAATTGGGTTTATTCTAAAAGATAATCAGCAAAGTTAATGTGCATCCAATCAATACTTTCTAACAGTTTCACTAAAATCTGTCCACTGGTTAATGAGATGTTTTGCCAACGACACAGATACTATTAGCCAAAACCGCTGTTTCCCTTTAGCAGCAGGAATGAGTAACTTGAAAAATTAAGAAGTAACTACAATATTTGTTGAAGTAGTTTGTAATAAAAACAGCCTCACCATGCTGAGCACTGACCAGGGAACATGTCTTGAAAAACTCAGAGGTCTTCCCACTTCCTTTTTCATGCTTTAAATAGTCTTTTTATGCAGCAGAAAACTATCAGCACGTTTTTTAAATGTGACAAAAGGGTCACTTAGTGTTAAGTATAGGTTTGCACTGGTAGACTAGACACTGCAAAAATAAAGTGATGTTATGGTTTTGTGATCCCTACAGTCCCACAAGACAAGAAGAGTGAACGAAAGAGACAGTGGACCGGTGAGAACAAGTGACATTAATCGCTGAATAAACTGTTGCAACACTGACAAAAACCTTCAGAGTCAACATAATAAAAACCCAACAAACAGTTTTTGCTTCTAAGCTTAATTATGGCAGCAAATAAGAATGATCCAGAAGAGAAGGATATTATAAGGGTAGATGGGGTTTCTCAAGTTCCTCATGTGAGTCGCAGATGGAAACAATCTTCTCACTTGAGTTCTGAACATCCATCCATTATCTTTTTCTCGCTTCTTCCTTTTCGGGTCACGGGGTTCATTGCACTGGTGCCCATATCCAGCAGTGAGAGGACAGGTCTCCAGTCCATCACAGGGACATACAAAGACAAACGACCATTTACACTATCACTCACACCAAGGACAATTTAGAGTTACAAATCAGCCTAACATGCATGGTTTTAGCTGTGGGAGGAAACTGGAGTACCCTGAGAGCCCACGCGTGCACGGAGAGTAGGCCTGTCACGATAACAATCGTGGGTGATTGTCTCCGAAATTATTGCAATAAACGATAATATTGTTTGAAATTTGACAATAATTAGTAATTATTGTCAAATTTAAGAAGAAATGTTTTTGTTTTGTGTTTAGTACCTTTTTTCGACCACCAGATGGCAGTATCAGACTGTGTGAACCGAAGGATGGATAGTGAGGGAGCGAGTAGCTTAGCTTCTCAGCTTAGCTGCTTTTAACGATCCAAAAATGTGATTTTGGACGGTTAAAACGGATTTAGAGAAAAAAAAAGAGAAAGTGAGGGGTCCGTGAAGAGCACCGGAGTTGAGCTTTTTGTCATCCAGTGTCTTCAGTAGAACGAGCGAGACAAAGAAACTATAAAGCCGATAAATGAAAATGAGCTCGATAATTTTCATTTATCATAGGAATAATTGATTTATTGTTTATTGCGACAGGCCTAATGGAGAGAACATGCAAACTCCACCCAGAAAGGCCCCCCAAGCCAGGATTCTATCCAGCAACCTTCTCACTGAGAGGTGGCAGCTCTTCCAACTGCGCCACCGTGCCGCCAGAGTTTTGAATATATAGATTTTTTTAAAAACACACACACACAAATTTTCTCTCAAAACTGACAGAGGTGTCACGAGTTCTCAAATCTGTCTTAGGAGCACTAAATATGTATTTTGACACCTGAAGAGAAGCTTTCTCATAACAGAAAGCATGTTCAGTCTAAAAGCATGCCAAAAAGAAAATAAAAAAAAAAAAAAAAAACTGATCAAAATCTCCCGATCTTATCTGTAAAATATTCACCAGCAAAATAAATCATAAAGGAGGCAGCTGCTAAGGTGGGAACACAGCCAAGCAAAGTGGTTCCATGTGGGTGGAAAACAAAATAAAGTGAATGGCCTGGAATACAGATTTGCATCAAGAGATGAACACAAAAAAAATAAAATATGCTTTTCAAAAAATTATTACTAATAAAAATTTGGCTGCTTGGTCACAAACACTCACAATTTATTGGAATTGCATTGAAGAATTCACCCATTTTCTCACAAATTTGAGTTACCAGCTAAACGTCACCAGTCTCAACCAGCACCTTTAGATCAACCTTCTGATGGTGGTAACGGCAGAAACGGGGGAAAAAAATCTGAAGTATTACGACCAGGTACATACTACAGTATATAGCAGCTAAATGCTTGGCTAACTCATGGTCTAATTGACTTACAATCCTAATAATTGTTTCTAAAAGTGATGGTTAGTTAAATTACTCTGGCTACAAAAGCTAACCATTACATTATGCGCACAAGAACTTAACCCGGCCTTGGTTTAAAAAAAAAAAAAAAGAAGGAAAAACCTGATGAAACAGGTTCATGGTGGCAGGAGGACATTCAGGAAAATCAATAGAGTAAATAACTTGTGCTCAAAATGTTCATCATACGAGTATAAAACCTCTAAATGTTCTCAAATGAAAGAAATGCTGTCACCAGTTCATACTGTAAACATTAGGCACATCGGTACCAAAGGGAATTTAAAGTATGGAATGTAAAAATCAAACGTAGCAATCGTTTGTAATTATTAAACGATAATTGTCCACTTTTTCATTTAGAAGCATCTTTTCAAAGCCTAACCACCACAGCAAACTTTAAAGACCTCATAACGACTATTGTTCATATATAAAAATAAATTTTAAAAAATCCCCAAAGCTTTTTAAACTCATAAATCCTTAAAGCCCTTCAGTATACATTTGATGGGATTATCATGTTGCATTATCGAGGATTATCATACTCACTCCCCATGATCTTCATACCACTTTTGAACATGCCAGAAGCTGTGTTCTATCTAGTTCATGAGATTTACGATCCCAGAACCATCTGAAATCAGTAGCTGTGTGAAGCCAGCACCGGACTGAACCCTCTCCGGTTCAGTCTCACTATTTGGTTAGCTGTGAACTTTGGTCTTTGCTTAGAACATACTGGGTTGTTGGTTTTTTTTCCCATTTCTGGTATTTTTTTCTCCGATAGACGTTATTCAAGGACTACACAAGCTGGATACTTTATCTGAGGGGGGAGAAAAAACTGTCTGAGCTGGGCAAATAAAGGAAAACTCCTATAAGAGGACTTTGCTTTAAGTAAATACATTAGCGTGGATAATAATGGTGATTGTCGTGTCGGTTTGGGGAAGCTTTGATCACTTCACTAATCACTTGTAAAAGGAGCTCGATTTGTCCGACTCCGCTTCCAAACGATCCTGTCAGACTCTGAACTGTCAGCGCCGGCTTAGACATCACGTAAAATGTCAATATTGGGTCACATGTTGCCGCTTGTTCACAAAGCTTCTCATTCTCACCAACTTCAACTCGTTTACGTGTCATTCAGTCGTCACCTGGACGATCTCAGTCAACGTTTGAAAACTGGAATCGTTTGAAAACGGCGCCGCAATTATTGCTTTCGTTAAATAGTAAAGTTTTCATTGTGTCAAATAATGCCTGTAACTTAAACTCGCTGTGATTTAGAAAACTACGACTGCTCGCACAGTTTTGGGATCGTATAACAAAGATTACAAAGATAAAGGGTGTGCAAGCAGGGACAAATGTTTTTGTTAGTTCTGGTTGGTTACACAAAACTGGCCAAGCCCGATGGCTTATCTGCAGAAAAACCAAAGACTGGACAAGTAAGGTAGAGAAAATGTTTACAAAAGACTAATACCTGTCTGGTTACAGGCTCAAACCTAGACTTTCCACCTTTGAAATGACAGCTGAGTATTTTATGAGCATCAGCTGGAAGTATTGTGACCCTCACGGTCCACCGTACTTTCTGTGACGTCAACAAATCAGACCAGAGCAGCCGTTTGGTGCTTTTTGTTTTACAGTTTCTGTCAGAGATCGTGCAGCTCACTCATCTTTTAGATATATATATATATATATATATATATATATATATAAAGAAGTATTAAATTGAAAATGTAATGTTATTTATCCATTAGTAATTTTCTTTTAACTAAATTTGCCATGACAGGAGACTTGACACTCAGCATATGTGTTGTTGGTAATCATCACTTTCAGCTACTACCACATCAATTTACCTCATGATCTGTCCAACAGACTGAATTATAGACATTTCTGTGTTTTTAGAGTCAGTGGGCTGTGACGGACATCTTAAACTAGGTCGACTCCAAAGAGTTGTAGATGTTTATGCAAAGATTCTGCAAATTCTACTGAATTTCGTCCAGCTGTCTAATTATTTTGCTAACAGACAACGCACACACTGGCAAAAATATTATCAACCGATATTAAAGCAACTAATGAACTCTCATAACATCTTAAATTAGCAATATGTCAACAGATAAATGTCATTATGACACATTTTACACGTTTTGTCTTCATTTGTGCTTAACGTTGTGACAGAAACCTCTTCTGAGAATCCCAAACACAAACTGCTGCTTGTACTTTACATTTACCTCCAGTCAAAACTCAGAAACCTGTTTTTGATTTAATCATCACGCGGTGACACGAGCTGCAGAGGCAAACAGATATCCGCTTGCTAAGCACATTTTTGAGCTTTACTACAGACTACAACATGTGTAGCAGCGTGGCTGCAGCAGCTGCAAGCGTGCTGCTTTTGTACTTGACCGTCCCATCTTCCAGGGAATTAAAAAAAACCAAACAAACACTGAAATTAATTTTAAACAGGCTGATGCAGACGTTAGTAGTCATTTATTTCTTAATAAGTGAACATTTCCAGTCGCGTTTCTTCGAAGAAACAATGACCTCAAACTAAAAACACAGACTGATAAATAAAGCATGTGCAGCTGCTGTACCTGTAGGTAAGGGATGTGCAGCAGGATGACTAAAAACACCAACAGGAGGCAGAGGAAGCGGCTCCGATATCCTTCTACCTAAATGCATCGGACAAAGAAGGGGGAGGGGGGGGAACAGCCACCAGTGATCCCAGCTGATCCAGGAAAATTATAAAAAATAAATGCATAAAAAGCGTAGAAGAACGAAAGCCTTGTCGGGATGCTCTCCCTGAATGAGCCGGTTAAGGAGGCGGCGATCCAGGAGCAACCAAGCGGGTATTCCAGGGGTGTACAGATGTGAGTGGTCTTATTGAAGCAGCATCCTGCTGTGCAGCCGCCCAGGTTAACGATGGAGGATCAGAGCTAAAGGAGGAAGAGAACGCCTTGCTGCTGGAGGAGGCGGCCAGAGTTTAGTCCTTTGTGCGTTGTGTCAGCAAGGATTACCTCTGTGAAGAGGAGGAGGAGGAGGAGGATGGCCGGGGAGAGCGGCTGCTGCCCAACGAGCGCTGCACTCAGTGACGTTCCTTTCACACAAAACTGGGCCAGTGGGTTTTGCTCTGTGCGGGCTTCCATGGACGCTATACTCCATCACTGGGGGGGTGCGTAAGCATCCGTAACACACATGTGAAGCAGCTACAAATAGAAACACATGCACATCAAGCTCTGCATAAAGATGTACAGCCCCCCCCCCCTGCACAGCCCTTAGGGACACCAGTCGACCTACTGCCAATGAGCAGACAGAGGGGAGGGGGCGATATGTTTCGAGGGCAGGGTCTGGATGTTGTTGTTTTTGTTTCCTTTGATTTTGAGAAATTGCTCAGGGGGAAAGAAGAGAAGAAATGAAAGGGGTGGATTTTGATGAATGGACACCTGCCACCATCCTCATTTCCAGCCACACAACTGGTTTCGTTGAGGCGGCCAGCAGCCACCTTCAGGCTCACGCGGTTCAAAACTAAAAATAAAGAGGAGGTCTGTGCTTTTCCCAAATTCTTTCCTGGTTCTGTGAAATTCTCCACAACGTGTGCGAGAGACGTCAACAAGATGGTTACAGAAAGAAACGACAACGTTCTGCTGATCTGGGCGCACATATGAGCGTACAGCCGGTACTGGCAGAACACAAATAGCCAATAAATGAACGGCTGCTTAGTGGTCGAAACACAAGCTCATAATCAAATTTATCGCAGCGCTTTCGTCTCGTAAACAAAAGCCACCGATGTCCACGCAGACGTGCAAATGAAGGGAATTATTGACAACTGTGTTTCACATCATGACACTCTCGAACGCATTTCGTCAGGTATCGATGTAAGAGGAAACGCAAAAAGAGCTTAGAATATAACTGAAAAGCTGTGCTGCGTTTCACGACTTAAAGCATCTTTGAGATCCTCATTCTGTTACAATAGATAACAAGGAGCAGCAAACATATTTAGCACTGCTAAATCAAATCTGAGTCAAACGCTGGATTCTATTTTGGTCCTGTCTCTACTGTAAGCAATCCTTTCTGCTCAGGCTAAAACCATCGCATTCACAGATCAGATTTATCGCAATGAGAACACACTCTCCTTTAACTCTCATTCAGAGCATCATTCTTAAAGTCAAGTACACGATATTATTGTCCACCTGTGTCCAAAATCTCAATTTGTGCTGCTAGAAAAATGGTAAAACAAGTTGTTTCTAATGCAACTAAAGCCATTTGTCAAAGTAATGTAACGTGTATTTTGTTATATAAACTGTATGTGTGCAGGAACTAGGGATGCACGATATTATCGGCATCGGGATCGGCCGATATTAGCGATAAAGTTAAATATTGGACATCGGACATTCCATCAAAATAACTCATCAATAGAAAAGGTTTCTGTTTGTAGTTAATTTTTTTAATATAAGAAATATCAAGTATAATATATCCATTAATGCACTACTACTTATGTGCTTTTCACTTGTTGCTTGTGAACAGGTTGAGTTTAGATTTGTAACAATTTACAAATTTGCACTGTTGGAGAGTAAATGTCATGAATGAATTGGACATTAAACATAATCCAAGTTGAAGTGTTGCATCATTTTCAGCCCACTTTTTTTACATCTGCATTTGGTAGCAGGCCAAACTGACAAAGACCATCCAGAATAATGTAGTATTTTAATTCCACAGCAGAGAACGCTATGTAGTCTCTGTAAGTAGGTCTAGGGGGAAAAAATATCAGTACTGGTATCGGTTATCGGCCAAATAAGTTTTAACATATTGGCATATCAGATATCAGCCAAAAATCCAATATTGTGCATCCCTAAAAGGAACCAATTTTTTTATATATTATCTGGGATTTGAATTGTGTATAATATACCTTGACTGGAATATTTGAGTTTTGGACACAAGAAAAATCAGGTGACTCACTGTGGTCCACGGTAAATTACAGTACTTCAAATAAAGTTAAGATAATGCAAGTACAGTAGGAATACAACTTGTTAGCACACTTTTAGTACAATCTGTCAATTCTGGCACCGAACAGTGGCAACAAAGCACGTAGTCTGGCCATTCTGCACAGCAACATTTTCCAAATCCTACAGGAGTTAGGAAATGTTTCTGTGTTGCCAAGCCCGAGATAAAATCTCTACAATATGTCCTGAGTCCGCCCAGTGATTTCCCACTGGTCAGACATGTCCAAATGGGAGCAGCAAGGCTTTTCTGATCTCACCATGACAAAATGAAGGAGCAGCCGCTCTACTCCGAGTTTCTTCCTGTGTTTGCAACAGGACGCCTGTCCACGATTATTCACAATTACATAAATGCTGATTCAGTATTTACAGTATTGTTTTCCTTTTGTTTTTGAATTAAGAATGATTTTTGTTGTTTGTAACTTTTACACTTTAAAATATATCAAATTTTATTTACACACTCCATATGAATACATTTAGATCTCTTCAGTTCCTTTAAAAACATTCTCATTGAACTCATCATTCTTGCTCGATTTGTCTTTTTTTGCTACTCTTAGCTTAGAGCTAGCCTTGTGCTACTCTTAGCTTTGCGCTAGCCTTTTACTACTTTTAGCTTTGCGCTAGCCTT